CAGAGATATTGTTTGTATGCAAATAGATGTTGATAAAATTCTAGAAAATTATTTGGTGTCTAAAGAAGTTGGACAGTCCACCAGAAATAGTTTTCACCATGTATTCATTTAAATTTCCTTAAAAAAATAGTGCCAAGGAAAATTCAGACAAACTACAGCAGAATCACAATGAATTCAAAATTAGTCAAGTATGAATAACTGACGTTTTGATATAATAGAAAAATTGCAAAAACTTCAGATTTTCAATGACTGCACCTAAGATCATGTGTCAGTAAATAGCTTGGCCTATGGCATCTTTTACATGCCTGTCTTATGCTACAGCATTTAACTACCTTCTTACTGGGCTTTCCTCATAGGAACTTCATTCATTTAATTCACTCAACAAATATTGATTGCCCTACTCTATGCCAGGTGCTGGGGATACAACAGAGAACCAATCAGAGGAAAATATACGCTTTCAAGAAGATTCTATTTCAGTCTGAGAGATAGAAATAAGAACAAGCAACATATATCATATATTAGATGAGATTTCTCTAAATATTCACCTCTGCCTCACTAGTATCTAACACAATACATGGATATAGTAAACACTCAAAAGCTACTCGCCGCTAGATTGATTTATGATATAAAATTGACATATAACATCATCTTACTTTCAGGTATACAACATAATGATTTGATATTTGTGTACATTTCAAAATGATCACCACAAGAAGTCTAGTTAATGTCACCACGAAGTTCCCTTACCTGTGGCAAGCGGCAATCTGTTCTCTGTATCTGTGAGTTTAGTTTGTTGTTGTTTGTTTTAGATCCCACATATGAGTGAGATGTAGGTTAATATACTTTTATGATTACGCAGAGGAACAAAAGCATAATTTTTAAAATTATCATTGCTTTTATTTTTTTAAAAGATTTTATTTATTTATTTGATATATAGAGAGATCACAAGTAGGCAGAGCAGCAGGCAGAGAGAGAGGGAAGCAGGCTCCCTCCTGAGCAGAGAGCCTGATGCGGGATACAATCCCAGGACTCTGGGATCATGACCTGAGCTGAAGGCAGAGGCTTTAACCCACTGAGCCACCCAGGCATCCCTAAAATTATCCTTGCTTTTAAATGTGGACAGTTACTGGATTCCTGACAGTGGCCCACAGATATACATAGACTTAATTGTAGAGGATGTATAGAATAACTTCCAAAATAAAACTTATCTATGAGTCAAGTAGCCTGGCAGATTTATTAATTTTGGTGGCCTTAACAATGGATATAATTGTATCAGATGGCCCAAATGAATGGGTATTTTATTTCACCATCTACCTATTTTGCTTTTTGTGACCAGCAATGAACATAATCTCTTCATCCCATATACTTCTTTGACTTTATTATTTCTCTCTCATCTTAGTGCTGAGTGTGTAGAGGTGTCGGGTTAATTAATTGACTTTTCCATAGAATATCCAAATGCTTGGTCCTGCGCATTTCTCAGTTAGAATTCTAATCATTAGCCAGGATGAACAAGTGTAACATGCCAAGGTCCAAAGGAAGATATTTTCAAAAAATAACACATAATATTTCTCTGGTTCCATGTGCTGGATAGCTCTTGGAAACCAGATAGATAAAAGGCTGAGTGTCTGATGAAAATCTGTACACAACTCCTTGGAATCCAAGTTTGGGTAGGCTGACCAGAGAAGAATGCTCTCAGGGCTTGTGAGGTGACTGTTGACAGAGCCCAGGGAAAATGGCAGACTTCCTCATTCTTACCCCAGCCCCCACATTTCTCCTGCCAGTCTTATCAAGGGCTTAAACTGTTTAGGCAATTCTGTGGTACCTCATTCACATACACACAGACACGCATAATAATCCACATTAGTTCTGATTCTTTAGTACTTCAACAAATCACTTGGAAAAATGCATTAATTATAAAAGCAAAGCATGACCTATCTGAAAAAAACTAGTAAATTAGAGATAAACCAAAGGTGAAAATAAAAATCCTCTGTAATTCTACTGTCTAGAGTTAACTAATTGAATTACTGATACATACCCTAGTCTTTTCTCTATACATGCACAAAATCATGTACTTGGGTTTTTTTTCCCCAAAATTGGGATCACTCAGTTTAGCAATCCAAACATTAATGTTAACATACTTTTCCGTTACATGAAATTACCACAATTTATTTTTTGTTGGATACTTTAGGTTGTCCTGAATTTTCAATGATATACCATTATCAGTACTATACTAAAAAGTATACTAATACATTTGCCCTTGTAGAGGACACAATGTTTTTGCACAGTTGGTGACCACACAGCTGTTTGCAGGGAGAGAGAAGTGCACACCATGTAACTCAGGTGTTTTTAATTTGCATGTTTCTAAACCAGGCCCAGCTGTTCCAGGCAATTACAGGAAGCATCTTTGTTCCAAACTATACAGAGCAGGTTCTTGGCTGGGGCCTGAGATTCCTAGAAACACATGTAGTCATTAATAGGAAATACATTCATGTTAATACTCACCAGGCAAGATAAATACTTGTTCATTCATCCTTGAATCCTTCAATCCCCATCTCCCCCCTTAACCCCAGCAAATAGATTATCAGTAACTCGAGGGCAGGCACATGCCTACTTTGTTTCCCATTATATCTTCAGCATTTAACACATTACCTAGCACATAGCAGATAATCAATATATATTTGATGAGTAAATTTGATGAATAAAGAAAGATATAAAATGAAAATATCTCATTCCAACTGCCATTGGGTCTTGGCTCTGCTTTCTTCTAAGAGAAACTGGGCCATATAGGTTTATTTATTCTATCCTAATGGTTAACTTGGGGAACAGGGACATAGTGTCTATACCTGACCCAGGTACTATTGGGTGAGGACTGTGTTTTTTTTTTTTTTTTCTATGTTGAAACTTGGTTGGTTTTACTGAGCTACAGAATGTTTCAACCTGCAGTTTGATACATTATTTCCCTAGGAAATGAACCCTGAAGCAAAGAACCATTTCCCAAGGAATTTGCATGGATTGCAAGATCCTGGTTTTGTTTTTTTTTTTTTTGAGTGATAATAAACCACTTTGGAATCCTTTACTAGTGGGTGACATTGTATTAAAGCTTTCAGAAACATTTTAAGCCTCAAAATATTAGACAGTTATGGTGGATGATCAGATGTTCCTCTGATGACTAGTTCCTATGCTTCTAGAAATAGTCTCAATGAATAGAAAATAATATAGTTTTATTCATTCCAACACTTACTGAGTACATCCTAGGTGTCAACTTTTGTACTGGATGTTAGAAAAAAAAGAGATGCATATAGATATAGAGACAAATGCACAATTATCATACGGTGTGGGATGTGATGTAACTGGCTGTGGACAGGGGGCTGTGGTGACACAGAGGAGAGAGCAACTTGCTAATCCCTGTTGGTAAAGTTGGGGAAACTTTCATGGTGATGAACCCATTTTTACATGGGGCTTGAGGGATGGATAGGCATTTACCAGGCAGAGGAAGGGGGAATAGGCATTCAAAAAAAAGCCAAAGCTGAGAAGGACGCAGTGCAACTGGGACAGGTGAGGGCCTTCAGGGCAGGCTGGAGCATAGGGTATGTGCCGGGAGATGAGATTGTGGCAGACCTCAGATGTGTCATCCAGGAACCAGCTAAGGAGCTGGTACTTTGTTGTGTAGATAATGAAGGTTTTGATAAGGGACATTTATCCTTCAGCCATTAATATCAACCGGCCAAATTAAGACATTTCCTTCTGATAATGGTCGATTAAGAAGACAAAGACTTGATTTTCTTTTCTTTTAGATTTTAGGCTTTGTTATATCCTCTCTTTTTTTTTTTTTTTTTTTTTAAAGATTTTATTTATTTATTTGTCAGAGAGAGAGAGAGAGAGAGCGAGAGTGAGCACAAGCAGATAGAGTGGCAGGCAGAGGCAGAGGGAGAAGCAGGCTCCCTGCCGAGCAAGGAGCTCCATGTGGGACTCGATCCCAGGACTCTGGGATCATGACCTGAGCTGAAGGCAGCCGCTTAACCAACTGAGCCACCCAGGCGTCCCTGTTATATCCTCTCTTAATGCTGGTGGTGTAATGGTCCAAACCTCCCTTAATTTTTCAGTTTCACCTTTTGTTCATTTATTCTTATCTTTTTTTTTTTTTTTTTTTAATAACCAAGGTGTTTTCAAAGCCTTCTTGTATGTCTGTTCTGCAACTGTTTTCACAAAGCTAGGCTCAGTGATTAAGCCAGTTTTAAGTTGTAGCTGGGACATTTTACGGAACTTATTCCACAAAATTATTCCTTTTTAACATCATGGGTGGTCAGGAAATGGATACATGGGACCAAAATATACATTGTTATTGTTAACTCCAGGGTACTATAAAGGGGAGTCATTTCCTCAAAACCCTTAGAAAATTCCATTGCATTTTTGGAATATTCTAGGCAAGTTGAGGAAAGGGTGAGGGATGCAGAGAAGGGAATATGAAATAAGAAGAAACTGGTATTGTAGTTACCAAGCAGAAAACTCTAAAAGTAACATTCTGGAACAATACCATTTCCATGTGCAAATTGTATCAGATACTCTGAATTCATTCTAAAAACCTCTTATCTATAGTTTATCTGTACTTTTATTTACAAATAAACTTAAGTTTTTTTTTTTTTTTTCATGGAAACATCATACGTGTGTTGGCTTTGAATTTACCATTCCCAAAAGTAAGAAAAATATCAGTTACTTATATCAGTGTTTGTCCTTTCTTGGGTCATTCTATTTGTGCACATTTGACTTGCCATATAAGTTATAATTTTTGTAGTTTTAATGTCAATATAAACTCAAAAGAACCAGATATCTACGTCAATGTTGCTGCTACTGTTCATTTCTTTATGTCAGTGTTTTGCAAAATAACATCACTTTGTGGAAAGTGAAATGGATACCTTGTAGCCTAGCTAGTTAAGTTAAACAACTCTAGGACTGAGAAATTATCTGTATCAATGGATTTTGTTATCTTGCTTATTCTGCAGGTGACAATGGCCAACATTGGAATAAACGGAGATCATTCTCGGGAGACCTGTGAAACAACAATTTTCGCTCTCCGAATGGCAACGTGGAATCAAATCTTAGATCCCTGGGTGTATATTCTGCTTCGGAAGGCGGTCCTGAAGAATCTCTACAAACTCTCTCGGCGCTGCTGTGGGGTCCATGTCATTAGCTTGCACATGTGGGAGCTTAGCTCCATTAAAAATTCCTTAAAGGTTGCTGCTATTTCTGAGTCCCCAGTTGCAGAGAAAATAAATCAGCCAGCACCTGGTTTAATAGGACAGTAAGGCAGTGTAGGTCTAGGGCAATCAACATTCAGGAAAGTTTAGTCAGTATTTCAGTTAATTGGATGGAAACAGAAAGCCTAACTGGAAAATTCAGACCTCAGCAGTTAGTTTGGAGGCACTTTTGTCGGATTCAGCTGTTGAAATTTGTGAAATTCACTGTGCAATTGCATCTTTTCCCTTATTATTATTATTTTTTTTTTCAACTGGAGGTAAACATAGTATGATAATGGCATGGGAGTCACACTGAAAAAGTGTTTTGGGCTTCTTTGTGTTATTCACGCTTTTGGAATGAGTGACTCTGTTGAAGCCTAAAGCCTTTGTGTGTCTTATTTGTCCAACAGCATCTTAATACTTACCTGCACAATGAAATAGCTGTTTGGGGGTCACTGCTCTGCAGCTGTTCCTGATAAATGAGGCTCAGTGAAGGGGAGTGGCCTCACTGTTGGGTCTGGTCTGTTACACCACTCAGTATGTGCCTTCAATCAATGTATGAATGGTCCTGTCTCATGGGGTTCACTGTGGCTTGTTACAATGACCTCCATGACACCAGATGTGGACATCAGGTTGCCTGACCTCACGAGCCTCCTTAGAATGAGCCTATTCTTGTCATTTTGACAAATATGACTGCTTGCTTGTATTATTGTGATGGCAGATTATTTGAAGGTTTCCTTGTGTGAGTCATAGATTTACCGTTCTCACATAATCTTTTCCTCTGAAAATTCAGTAAATGATTTTTAGAGAAACCAAAGCTCTACATAGGGGGATTTGCCTGGTAGCAGTTCCTGTGAAGCATGCCAAGGATAATGCGAACAGACAGAGCTTAAACCCCTGTGATAGGTACAAAGCATGTTGGCAAAGGAGCTCTACTCTGAACTGCCATTGCTGTATTAGAGAACAAAAGAAACACAGTCTATATATAATATTCCAAGACTATCTGCAGCTAGTGTGTTTGTGGTTTCTTCACACATGCATACACACACATGCATAGACACATACGCATATCAAAAATTTCTATTGAAAGCTAGTTCATTAAATCTGTATGACAGCATCTTCTAGAGCCTATGCTACCTGTGTCAAGGGGAAAATTGGCAATTAGTCAGGCACTTGGCGATCATTATTATGGGTAACCAAGAGATCAGGGCATAATGATCTCTCCCCAAATTTCTAGTAATACTTTAGACTTCTTTGCTTCTTTGTATAATCCAACGCCCCGATTTTCATGATCATTGAAAATGGCCTGGGGCCATCAGAACATAGGGTAGGTAGTTCTGCCTCTGTAAAAGAATTTTTGCTTTCATTACCTGTGGTCCATTTTAAAAAATTAACCTTCTCTGTGAGACTGATTCCACATTCTCCAGGAAATCTCTGTGTTTCAGCTAGACTTAAATTATTACATTCACAAATTTTTGCTTTTGACTGGTATTACATATTGGAAGTTGTCCACTTTTGTGAATTTTGGTAAATTCTTATGAACAAATGAAAAGAAGTTAAGCAAATAACCTTATTGAAGATTTTAAAGGAAACACTTTTCCCAGTGAATTTAAAGAGGGGACACACACAGGGACACATGATATTCTTAATTTAAGAATAGTAAATGATGAATCACACAAAGTTAGGTTATTCTCATATATAGAACACATAGTAGATGCTCATGATATACTTGCCAAATTGAGTTACAGACAAGATTTTTTTTGGTGCAAAATGAGCATGGAATTGCAAAGTTTTGTGCATTTTTATTTAAAATGGCAATTACATATTGGTTATTTTGATATGTATATGTGTGTAAATGTATATTTAAATATCCAGTGTATATACTTAAAAAAAAAGCCATTGCAATTTCTGATTGCTGTTACATTACATGAATGCTCTCATGTGTTTCAAGGGCACTTAAAGCCCAGAACGTTTAGTTGGCTTAGAGGAGACATTTATTTCCCACAGCTACTTAAGGGAGTGTTGGTGTCCTGGGAGCTGAGGCACAAGGAACCATAGCTTCATCCTTTCTCCTTAGGCTGGATAGGATGTTGCAGCAAAATTTCCATGTACTGTGACCTGGGAGAGGTGTGCAGAGAAACTCTCATTCAGGGCTCCAGGTCTCTTCTCCTTAAGGCTTTTAGGTAAATGGCATCATGGTTTTTCTGATGTCATGATGTCATGGTTTTTATGACATCACTCTGGCCATGAGCATCTATATCGAGGAGATACTGTGACCTTACCATATGTGGGAATGCATGGGCATGTAAGGTATTAGGGAACGACAGGACGGTCAATCTCTGCATATCCTGGAAGGATTCACTTCATTATCTGAGCACAGGTTTAGGGCAACTAAGTTGGTTTTATAATGAGGTTAAACCCAAGTAGACACCAAAAATTGAAAAAAAATGTCGTAGAAGAATATGTGTTTTCTTCTTGTGTTAGACCTTTTGTCCAAGGAAAATAAAGTGAACACAATATACATATATCTGACTTCAGAATTTTATTTCTGTTATTATATATATTTCAGTGTAGTTTGGCATCTTGTTGTATGTTGAATAATAGAACGTAGCCGCCAGCGACAAATTTCACAGAAATGTTTAAAGTGAAAATTACTTTGTTCCGATTACTAGAAATAAGTAGTACAAATAGTGTTCACCAGGTTAACCAATTTTGGAATTTTAAGGTCTGTTTAAAATTTATAATTAGACCATCCGAGCAACTGAATTATCCTTTTCATTGGGTAAAGTAGTATCTGAGCAACTTCACATACTATCTGATCATATTACTTCTGGGGAAATTGATTATTCTAGGCAAATGACTTGTAAATGCAGGTGTTTTTCTTTTGTTGGTGAACTTAAAAACTGAGACAAAAAATAGCTAACAGCAAATGGGTTTTTACGAATTATGAACAAAGACAGGTAACTGACTCATAATTAGTTCTAGGTACATCCTACTGTTTCACACTTTTTACTGAGGATTTAACTAAGTGACACAAATATTCTAAATTTTTTCCTAAAGGCTGAAAGTTCCATGTAATTATTTGCATTGCTGAAGTGCAAAATACCTAAAAGTTAACTCATACACACACACACACACACACGCACACACACACACACGCATCTGTCTTACGAAATAAATAGTCTTGTTTGCTCATTTTCAGTCTTTAAAAGAAAAACCTGCTTTAGTTTTGTGTCTAATCTGAGTTTAGACCCCAGGTAAGAGCACTTGCTAAACACATAGATGAACTTTTTTGAAACTGGCTGCTAGCTTTGCCTGTATCACCACCATTGCTACAAATTAATAAACAAAGGTCAGAATATGAAAGATGGGATGGGAATACACATTTTCTCACTTCTTCATCTGGGTGTCAAATATTTTACCACGTGGTAAATAATGTTGGACTTCAGCTTATTACTGAGGTATTTTAATGGTAGATACAATGTGTTATGTGAATAAATATATTTTGTGTTCTTCATACTTGCTGGACTGTATGAAATTAAACAGTGATATGTATATTTTGTGGCTTGTATCCATGTGCAACTCATGGAATTTTAGTGTTTTGACTAGTTTAAAACTTCCAACAAATGATTTACAATAAACTTGGACTAGTATTTACCAAGAGTGGCTATTTTTAGGAAGGTCATATAAAGCTTGGAACTCAAACATAAACTTCCATTTTTATCTCTTTGGTGGGAAGAATTTCCACTTGTTTTCTTTTATTACCTTTGGTATCTGTTTCCTGCCTCTTTTTTTTGTTTTTGTTGTGGTTCACCTAGGCAGGTCGTAAATTTTAATGGGAATCTGATAATTTCCAAAACACACTGGCCTAGATGTGTCAGGATAGCAGAGACATGTCTGTGAAAATGGCCGCCCAAGTCTTCATGCCGTGAACCCTCAAAGGGTTTACGTCTCACCCATGGCTCATGTCCACTCAGAAGGGGAGCTCTGCCCCTTGTAATCACTCAGACTTTAGGTGACAAAGCTGCTGCCGTCTTCTATGTTGCTCTTTGCCTTGCTACAGGGAAAAAAAGCATGGTAAATCATGAACTGGCTCTTAGAGCTTCCACCTGGAGGTAAGACGTGTTCCTTTTGCTCACACATCTCTGGCCAAAGCAAGCGATAGCCTACTACCTTCAAGGAAGCAGGTTAGTGTAATACTATGATATGCCTTCGAGGAGAACTGAAAATAATTGGTGGACAGCATGAAAGATTTCCCTATTAGGTCAAATATTTTCGTGCTTGCCTTTCTAACATAATTCAAACTAGAACTCTTTCTTTTAAAGTTTTTATTTATTTAAGAAAATCATGGAATGAAAGCATTTAGAATTCATTTTTCTAACTAGCCTATAATCGATAAGATTATAAGACAGAATGAATGCCACATACGCTGTTTGCAATTAATAGGAATTTTGGAAGATTAAAAAGTCAATATAGAATAAGAAGTGAAAAAACTTGTTCTCTTTTTTCTTTTTTTTTAATTTGAGAGAGGGAGAGAGCACGTGCACACATGAGTAGGGGAAGGGGCAGAGGGGGAGGATCCCAAGCCGCCTCTGCGCCCACACCGATCCCGACATGGGGCTCAGTCTCACAACCCTGAGATCACGACCTGAGCTGAAACTAAGAGTTGTATGCTTAAACTATGCCACCCAGGTGCCCCGAAAATAGCATTTTATATATATCCTTATTCATAGCAAAGTAGAGGCAGAATGACTGAAATATAAAGGAACTGTGTTTTGGCTTTAAAGTGTGCTTTACTGGCTCCTGGGTGGCTCAGTTGGTTAAGCAACTGCCTTCAGCTCAGCTCATGATCCTGGAGTCCCGAAATCAAGTCCCACATCGGGCTCCCAGCTCCTCGGGGAGTCTGCTTCTCTCTCTGACCTTCTTCCCTTTCATACTCTTTCTCTCTCAAATAAATAAATAAAATCTTTAAAAAAAATAAAGTGTGCTTTACATTTCCACTTATACAAGCATATGAACTCTTAGAGTTTTGTATTTAATACTATTTGAGTTCTTTACATATCTGATTGGTAAAACCCCAAATTAACAAAATGCTTTCTCTTGGTGTAGTGCTAACTTTCCTGTGTTAAATAAGGCAATCCTATACCAGTATACACAGAAATAATTTTAGTTTAAGAAAAGGAGATTCTACTAGACATACTGTTGTGCTGTAAAACTTTCGTTCTTCAATAACCCACATTGGTACATGCAGAGCATTCCTGTTAACAA